TGGCTTTTGTTTCCCCTAACTCCGGGCATTATAGGTGCTTGTGCTTGGGCATGGATGAGCCAAGACAGCTGCACTGGACTCACCTAACCTTAAGATACAAGGCTCTGCACATTCCCTAATGAACCTTGACTCTAGCTAACCAGCATCACATAAAATGAAGCCAAACAGTTTTTTGCTGGCAGGTTGAAAAAACAGAGTGGTATTAGTTCTAAAATATGTTTCCTTCACTATTAGAGTTCTTCCCTTTGCTTTTATCTCAGGTGAAATGGCTGTGCTGTCACTGTAAATCTGTAGGAGAGTGGGAAACACAAAACAAATTTCTGGTAAAACGACTACTGTGCAGGCTTCCCCCACCCATCCCCCCCAGAGCTGTGATAGAAAAAATGAAATACCTTTTACAGTTTCCTCAAATTCTAACTCTGAGAAGGTTCACTTGATCCATTCAAAACTGGACCCCAACCTGCACAAACCACCTGTCAGGGTTCTCCATCACTTACTTGGCTGTGATCTCCTCCTCTCTCTCAAGCACACTCCACTCCAGTCAGGTTAGTGGCCTCTCCTGTCCTCACATAAGCCATGTTCACGCCAGTCCCCATGTCTTTGCTCATTGGGTCTCCCCTTCCCATATAGAAAGTCTCACTCTGCCCCCTGATAATCCCAATCCTACACATCTTTCCTACTTAAGGCCTAACTCCATTCGAACTTTTTCTGTCCATTTCAGAATACCTTCATCTCTCCATTCTCTGAAACTTTACTTCCCTTAGAATCAGTCTCAGGTTTTTGGTTTTTTATCTTTCTGATTAGCCTTTAATTGTGATATTTGTAAAAGACTCATCTTGCCAGCTAGATTTTGAAATTCTCTAGGCAAGGAGACTATTATTCTTTACAATATTTCCCTCGATTTTTAACACTGAGCACAAAGTAAGCATATGGTTCAAATCTAATAAATTCTTGTTAAAGTACTGATTGATGGAACACCTCCCTGGCTGCCTAGAGGATTATGTGGTCATTTCAGCCCCTCTGTGCCCCTGAATCACGTCTGGTCCCAGTCAGCACTCACTGAGTCAGTCGTGTTACAAAGGACACTGAGAATTGGCACAAGAGATATGTACAAAGAGGAGAGCACTCAACTAGTCATTATTTATTAGGCACCAACTGTAGGCCAGGCACTGGACTGGGTACTGAAAAAACACAGTGATTAGTAAAACATTCTCCTTGTGTAGTTCTGGCCCTCTGGGTGGAGATAATTATTTGAGTGATGATAAAAATCAATATCAGGACTTCGGTAGTGCAGTGGTGCAGTGGTTAAGAATCCACCTGCCAATGCAGGGGACACAGGTTCGAGCCCTGGTCCAGGAAGATCCCACATGTGGCGGAGCAACTAAGCCCGTGTGCCACAACTACTGAGCCTGTACTCTAGAGCCCGTGAGCCACAACTACTGAGCCCACGTGCCACAATTACTGAAGCACGTGCACCTAGAGCCTGTGCTCCTCAACAAGAGAAGCCACCGCAATGAGAAGCCCGTGCACCACAACGAAGAGTAGCCCCTGCTCGCCACAACTAGAGAAAGCCCACGTGCAGCAACGAAGACCCAACGCAGCCAAAAATAAATTAATTAATTAATTTTAAAAAATCAATATGAGATTACAACATGATACATATTAGAAGACAATGATATACGTGAGCTCTGAAAGCAAGATACAGGAGGACCTGGCCCTCCCTGTGTGATTAGAAGGAAGGGAACCATCCTGGAAACAGAACTCTGAACCTCCAGGTTAAGACTGTGCAAACCTCTCCCCCATATCCACCTCCCCGATAAATTCAAGTTGCATAACCTTCCCTTGGGGGCTTCCAAGCAATTAAAGAGCGGCTTGAGTGCACATGGCCAAATTGTGACTGCCAGGTGATTAATCTGCCAATATTGGCCAAATCCCTAGAATTCTCCTTGGACTTTCTGATAATAAAACAGGTATAATAGAGCCCTACTAAATGCACACTGTGAAGATTAAGGAATGAATGTAATGCATTTGAACTCCTGGAAACGTGGCCCCAAACCAGCAGAGATTTATGCCCAAATTTCTTCACTAACCAATCCCAGAAAAAATGTGAAGGAATAAGGCACAAGGATTCTGTGTGTGTGTATGTGTGTGTGTGCTCATATGTGTGCACACGCATGTGTATACATGCAATAAACAAAACTCAGTTGCACAGTTCAGCTGCTCTCTCACAGACTTTCTGTGGGTTGCAACAAAGGGACATTTTAGGGGGTTCCAAAAGAATCCTCTTAGGGAAATTTGGCCACCTATCAAATGACACCGGGTATTGTTTAATCCTGAATAGCTTTGTCAGCAATAGACAAATTTAACAAGATAGTTACCCTGAAAACTCAGTGTGTAGAAAAAGCAGTAACATATGGAGACAGAGATGTGTTTTTATTATCTTTCTTTCCTGTAGAGCTTGCATAACATGTGCTACATGTCCCTCTTGAGAGCGTGTGGGAAGGTAAGGAAGGGTTGGGGGGAGCCCCAGGGAGTCTGGCCGGCCACTTAATATAGCCCTATTCAGTCAGATGGTTGTATTATGCAAATTCACACACTGAAGACATTCTTTTCAACCTTTAAAACATAACATTCAAAACAGCACTGTAATAAGACCCAGAAGATTTAAATAGTTTATGCCTCTGATTTAATTTAACAAAAAACAAAACATTTTCAGTGACTAAATCTAGGATCACCTTTGATTAAATCTGACTTGCTTCTC